GAGGGTATTTATCAGTAAGACTCTTCACCGAGTCCTCACTTATTCTTTTTATACATCCCAAATCCACAACAAAGGCTAAATCATTAGTAGGTCCAGTTTTCACCTCTGAGTCAGCCTGTGGAATACTCCACACCTCCTCTGGATCTCCATCCAGATTCTCAGCAAACACTGAGGGATCAAAATAAGATGGAGCCTGAGAGCCATCCTGCTTGCCAGCACTATCAGGGCACCACCCAGCTATCATCATTATAGGCTGGATCAATTAAATTAGACAAATCCTCTGTATTAAACTCCCTGGTCACAGGTCCTCTAACAGAACTTCTAGTCTGAAAATTTTGGTGCCAAAGTAGCAACCGCGCTCGTCAATGACGAGAGCTGAGACATTAGCTGATTAAGTCCAAGCTGTAATTTCAACTCACTTATATTCAGATCAGCCTTGTGTTGCACGTTAACAACATCACTGTTGTGCCGAACCGGCTGCCATCGCCGGAAGTAGTTCAGAGCTAACACGGCTCCCTCTTTTATCAAGACTTAGCTTAGCTTTCTTTGCCTGTGCCACAGGTTGCAGACCACTGGAAATCTGACGCTTCGGTCGGTCAATCTGACCAGACACGAGTACACTCACTCTAAGTTTGAAAAGGTGAAAAGCCCCGAAAACTACCTCCATTGTCCGAATCTGATCCAAGCAGATCAAGCAYGATCAAGCATCTCGAGTCCGAGATGGGCCGGCTCATCATCACTCRTGTCGAGACTATGTCTCCAACAATATCAATGAATCGCCACCAAATGTCACTGTAAAAGAAAGAGACAGCGTCTCAATCACATATCAAATCCACCACTGCGTGGTGCCGTGACAACAATACTTACCTCTCGCTCTCCTCTCTCAAATGAAAAGTGAAGGAGGCCAGGCTAGGGAGCCTACTTATGGGGTAGCTAGGCATCATGGGTAATTGCCTCTTTGAATAAGAGACCTCGCTCTCACAATAACTCAAATGATGCTGTTTCCATCTCTGAGACGAAGGCAAACGTAAATAAAAAATAATGAGTGATGTTCTGACGTCTGATGTAAAAGGTAACACCTCCGGGGTGTAACCAGGAAGAGATGTACATTATAAGCTCAATTCATTATTATAGTAAAAATAAGTTGTCAGTCTGTTTTGCAGAGTGTCTGCTCAGAGCAGAGCTCTTGTCTGTTTGTTTTGGTTCAGCCAAAGGTCTGAGTGAGGACTGTGCTGCTGAGTGCTGTTCTGTGAATCTGATTGAGTCAGAAGACTGAAAATAATGTTTTAAAGAAGAAATCCAGCCGAATCCTTTTACCATTTTGAACAATGTATACTTTTCTAACAATACACCCCATATTTGAGGAGAGGGCTCCTTTCAAAGAGGGGGTGTCAGAACATGCAAAAATGYTTTGTTATGGAGTAATTACAGTGGGGAAAATAAGTATTTAGTCAGACACCATTTGTGCAAGTTCTCCCACTTAAAAAGATGAGAGAGGCCTGTAATTGACATCATAGGTAGACCTCAACTATGAGAGACAAMATGTGAAAAAAAATTGAGAAAATCATTTTGTCTGACTTTTAAAGAATTTTTTTGCAAATAATGGTGG